TATCCTGGGTGGGGCTGGGGGGATTGTATTGGAGGGAGGCTGAGCATAAACGAAGAACGTGCCATGTGGTAGGTGGTGACAAGGGCTCCAGAGAAACACAAAGCGGGGTTGGAGGGAGGAGACAGGGGATGCCTGGGTGGGGGAAGTTGCAGTTTTACATGGGGTGGCCAGCGAAGCCTCATTGTATTGGCCTCTGAGCAGTGTCCTGGGGTGGATGAGTAACTAGCTACAGGGATAGTGCAGGGAAGAGTGATCTGGGCAGGGTGTGCGAGCTCCCTGAGGCACTCGCCCCTCTTGTTGCTTGTTGGAACCACGAGAACTCCACGGCAATTCCAAGGGCACCCGAGGGTGAGAGGCCACGTGCAGCAGAGATGAGCTGGCCCTGCGAGATCCCTGAGACCAGCCCACCTGTGGGTAACCACACGTGAGTGAGACTATCCAAGTTTATCCAGCCACTGACCGACCTGCAGCCAGCCTTAGCCACGGGGAGAGAGCCCAGCAGAGCCCAGCAGGGCAGGCCCAGGTCAGAACCGCCCTGCCAACCCTCAGAACTGTTAAGCTCAGCAAAATGGTTATTGCCTTAAGCCATTATGTTTTTGTTTTGTTTTGTTTTTTAATGTAGCAAAGCCTGATACAGACAAGGTGATGAAATTAACCTAGGTAAGTGGCAGAACCCAGGCCATCTTAATTCATGACCCTCACCTTTAACCATTTCATTGTCTCAAGTCTCTGAGCCTCAGTGTCCTCTTACATAAAATGACAGCAAAGCCTTTCATTGGAGTACAGTTGACTTACAATATTATATTCGTTTCAGGTGCACAACACAGTGACTCGACATATTTATACATTACAAAGTGATCACAACCAAGTCTGTTTACCATCTGTCACCAAGCAAAGTTGCTGCAATAGCACCGGCTGTATTTCCTGTGCTGTACATTGCATCCCCTGACTCACTTATTTTACAACTACAAGTTTGCACCTCTTAATCTCCCTCATCTATTTTTCCCAACCCCCACCCTCCTTCCCTCTGGCAGCTGCCTGTTTGTTCCCTGAGTCTATGAGTCTGTTCTGTTTTGTTATGTTTGTTCATTTGTTTTGTTTTTTAGATTCCACATATAAGTGAAAACATACAGTATTTGTCTTTCTCTGTCTGACTGATTTCACTGAACGTAATACCCTCTGGTTCCCAGGCCATAAAAAACAGTCTACAAGCCAAATTTGTCCCAAGGGACAGAGTTTATCAAATCCTGTTCTTTTCTAATATAAGCGTTAAAAGCCATACTTTTTTCTCTAACTGCATCCAACAAATTTTGATATTCTGTAT